ACACACACACACACACACACACCACACACACACACACACACACACACACACACACCGTTTTCAATAAAAAATCATTTGTTTTGCAATTATATAAAAATGTAATCACACCAACAATCTAGAAATCTAGAGACACAACTCCAGCTATTCAACATGACAATATTTGTAGTGTAACATCAAAGACAACAAACATATTCAACTACAGTATATTCAAAAGTTTAAAGGTTTGACTGATGAGTTATGCTTTTGATACTTGTTTCATCCGCACACCAAAAGAGGATCATAAAGACCACAGCTGCAATGTTTTTCTTCCAGCATCCAACCGTAAAGGGAAAACTCTTTACTTTTATATGAAATATCAGTCAGTCATATGTAGTGCTGCGTACCTGGACTCACATTCAGGTTCAGGTCCGGACTCAAGTCCAGAGGTTCAGGTTCAGGTCCGGACTTATAAGTCCGGACCTGAAACCATGGCTTGTGTCAAGTTGTGTGAGTAACTAAAGTGAACTTATTGTGAGCTAATTATCAATTGAAAATAAACTCATAATCAACTCAAATTCAAACTCGTCAGGTTTATTGTGCTCCCTTCCAACATGTGTCTACATTTCTCTACAAAGCACAAATGTAAAAAAAACACTTTTTGCCACTTAGTCTACAAATGAGTTATGACAGCAACTACAGTGAACTACTACAAAGTTCAAACATTTATTTCATTTACCAAACTAAAGTAACCAAACACTCCCTGAGCTGAATGAGCCTAAATCCCTAAAACTTTGCTGAAAGGTAGAGTGTAGAGTAGACCAGTGTTTCCCAACCGGGGGTATGTGGGTGGTTCCCAGGGGGTACGTGAAAAGATTTTGAAAAGTAAAAAAANTCAGATGAAACCAAAATAGAACTTTTTGGTAAAAACTCAACTAGACGTGTTTGGAGGAGACAGAATGCTGAGTTGCATCCAAAGAACACCATACCTACTGTGAAACATGGGGGTGGAAACATCATGCTTTGGGGCTGTCTTTCTGCAAAGGGACCAGGACGACTGATCCGTGTAAAGGAAAGAATGAATGGGGCCATGTATCGTGAGATTTTGAGTGACAACCTCCTTCCATCAGCAAGGGCATTGAACATGAAACGTGGCTGGGTCTTTCAGCATGACAATGATCCCAAACACACCGCCCGGGCAACGAAGGAGTGGCTTCGTAAGAAGCATTTCAAGGTCCCCAAAATATCAACATCCTATCAAGTGAATGCGCTGGTGTTTATTGAGATCAAAATTTCTGTTAACATAATCATTATGGATCAATGGCTGAGTCGAGCTGGTTCATCCAGAAACAACAGCACAGGTGATACTGCTGAATCAGGAGAACCCGTTCTCAAGAAAATGAAAACAGAGAAAGTGAAGAATCGTCAGTTTGGTGAACATTATGTGCTCTCCGGGTTTACGGTCACAACTACAGAGCCACCGCAGCCAATGTGTTTCATCTGTGGCGACGTGCTTTCTAATAATAGCATGAAACCATCGGCACCTTAGTACTAGACATCCCGCCTGTGTGGGTAAGCCTGCAGAGTTTTTCCACCAAAAGTTGGCTGAATTTAAGGGAAGCCAAGAAAAACTAAAGAAAGCGACATCGGTCTCAACCAAGGCCTTGGAGGCATCTTATGCCGTGTCGCTACTCGTTGCTAAATCGAAAAAGCCATTTACCATAGCCGAAGAGCTAATCTTGCCTGCTGCTATAATTCTCGCAGAAACTATGCTCGATAAGAAAGCAGCTGATGTCCTGAAGAAAGTGCCGTTGTCAAATAATACTGTGTGCCATCGGATCGACGACATGGGAATTGACATTATTGACTCAAGTGGTGGAAAAATGTAAAGCGTCTGGTACGTTCGCTTTGCAGTTGGACGAATCAACGGATGTCAGTGGGGAAGCACAACTGATTGCGTTTGTGCGTTACAAAGACACTTTGGAGATGAACGAGCACATTCTGTTTTGCAAGAAACTCACGGGGAGAACTACCGGACAGGACGTTTTTAACGTTATTGACAATTTTTTCTCTCAACACAAGCTGGATTGGAAATCCTGCTCTCATGTGTGCACAGACGGCGCTGCGGCGATGACCGGCAGAGTAAATGGATTAATGGCCCACATAAAAAAGGTAAACCCTGACGTTACATGGACGCACTGCATGATTCACCGAGAAGCATTAGCTAGCAAGAGAATGAGTCCAGAGTTAAACGATGTTTTGAATGATGCCGTAAAAGTGATCAACTTCATACAGTCCAGGCCTTTGAATCATAGACTGTTTCAGTCACTTTGTGAAGACGGTGGGTCAGAACATAAACAGCTCCTGCTTCACACTGACGTCCGCTGGTTATCCCGAGGGAAGACGTTACAGCGGCTGTTCGAGCTACGCAATGAAGTGAGGGCATTTCTGTCGGAGCACACACACCCACTTGTGGCTATGTTCGACGACGCTGACTGGGTAGCTCGGCTGGGATACCTCTCTGATATTTTCAGCAAACTCAACCAGCTGAATCTCTCTCTTCAAGGTAAAGACACAAATGTTCTTAGCTTGTATGACAAAGTGTGTGGATTCATGGAGAAGATCAAGCTCTGGCAGAGCAAATGTGAAAAAGGGGATACAAGTTGTTTCCTGCAGCTGAACGGATACATTGCTACTGGTGAATGTGACAGAGCTCCAATTGTGAAAATAGTACACACACATTTGTCCAAGCTCAAGAATGAGTTCAACTCCTACTTCCCTGATATTGACAACAAGTCATCCACACTGGACTGGGTGCGTAATCCATTTGTGACGTGCATTAACAGCAGCATTCCCGCCAGACTGCAAGAAGACCTCATAGATGTGTCCTCAGATAGGAGCCTGAAGATGAGGTACTCAAGCACACCACTGACACAGTTCTGGTGTGGTGTGGAGAAGGAGTATCCTGAATTGGAGAAACATGCCCTGAATGAACTGTTGCCTTTTGGGTCCACATACCTGTGTGAGGTGACATTCTCCGCCATGACCCACATCAAGACTAAACACAGGAACAGACTCAACTTGGAGAATAACCTGGTCACAGCTGTTGCAACAATCTCCCCCAGACTCACAAAACTGATGGGAGGGCTCAAGTGTCACATTAATTGGTGAGTTACCTTACTTTTTTTTTAAAGTCTTTAAACAATGGCTATTATAATGTATATGATTAGTTATGATTTAAGTGTCACATTAATTGTCGCATTGGGTCACACAGACAAAAATATCCTCCTCTTCTCTATCTCTCCTCGTCACTTCTCTCCTTCTTCCACTCCCAGGTTTCACCTTAGCTACACACACACACATTTCACACACACACACACATTTCACACACACACACATTTCACACACACACACACATTTCACACACACACATTTCACACACACACACACACACACACACACACACACACGCCACACACATATACAGACTATTAATATATCCTGGGGATCCACCACGGATTGATTGCGTAGTAGGGGTACTTTAGGTTGGCCTTGAAATGCTTTTGGGGTACAGTACTCAAAAAAGGTTGGGAACCCACCTGAACTAGAGGATATCAACGAGTAATGTTGACTCAGATATACTAACTGTACCTTTATGAAGTGATCGTCACGTATCGAAATTATAATGTAAATGTTTACATTACCTTCTTTATTTGTTTGCTCATACTTTAACTTTACAATCGTTGCTTTATATGCATTATACTTTTTTGTGTTTGCTTCCTCCTGCTCCCTTTCGGACAACATACTGTGATGATTTTATTATTATTTTATTAATATGAAGATATTATTAAGATAGAGATAAGATGTTCCCTTTTCATTGATTGAGACATTTTAGTTTACAATGTGCTGTCCACGGGTAATTCAAGAAGGGCTCACAGGATTCACATTCGACCATTATTTAAAACAATAGGTGCTTTCACACGTCTACAGTTTGATTTGCTTAAGGGAGCTCGTTCATTTTTCGAATTACCCATTTGCTTTCGGGAGCCCTATTATGTTTCAGAGACATCTGCTACTAAATATGTCCACACGCACGCTCTGTTGATTGGCGCAGCAGCGCGGATGCGATCAATGTGCTATAACAAACACTGCTTCTACTAATACAGACCGCGTGTAACTATGCCGGCGGATGTGGGCCGTTGTTGAAAGCTCTCCAAGCTCCGCATGCAGGCCTCTCCTCGGGTGTGGAGCTGTCAAGCTCGACCCCTAAAGCGCTTAACAGCCGGCCAACTAAA